ATTATCCGGATTTTCGATTATCCGGATTGTTCAAAATAAACAAAAATTTTACGAATTTGCTGATTTGCACTCAGCGAATTACGATACTGTTTATGTACGTGATGGAATGCATAACTTTTTTGTTTCAACAATGTCTCACCCAGCACAATGGCCGTAAATTCTTAAATATATTTTGTGTTGTAATAAAAATATAACTTGACATACGTATTTATAAATAATTTATTTTCAAATTACATCATTTCTATGACCAAGGGCGGCGTAAGGCATGAGCAATGTGGGCCACCGTCTATGCCTCGCGGTCCGAAGAGCCTGCGTTTTGAAGGTTTATGCATTACTTAATAGTTGCAAACGCGACAAAAAAATTTTACTTGTCATAAAACGGTAAATAGTTTGTCAAATTTTTATTCATAAAAATGCAGTTTCAACTGCTTTTTATTTTATAAAATCCGTCTTCTTGCGCCACCAGAGGGCCTTTTAAACAATAGGTAGTCTGTTAGTGGAGGTCAGTAGTACTGTAGTCCAAATTCAATACGAACGTTTGTTTCTTGAAAATTTGATCACGATTTAAATACAGTATTTACTTTTAATATTACCGATATGTTATCAAAAAGAAAACGTGTTGTATTATCATTAAAAGACAAATTAAAGTATTTGTTTTGATTATCCGGATTTTTCCTTATCCGGACTACCTTCATCCCCAATTAGTCCGGATAATCGAGGTTCTACTGTATGTCAAAACATTCTTACATCTAACTTGTAAGATGAAGTTAGGTAATGTTAACAAAGTAAATTAGCAATGGTTTTTCCTATAAATTTTATTTCAATTTTACATGAATAACTTTATCCATATTACATTTTATCATAAAAAGAATAGGAAATACAACTGTTTAGGAAAACAGTTCTATTTCCTATTATTTTTATTTAACTGTTTTATAATAATAATTCTTATGATAATATATAATATACTGTATTAATAATTCTAATTATAATATCAAACTGTCTATATTTGTTTATCTCTCATAAATTTGTTATAAATTGTACATGCATATATAAACATCCCTCTAGGGACAAATTAATTAGTAATTAAAATTATAATTGCTGGAAAATAGAAAATAGAGAGATAAAAAAAATTTAAAGCATTTTTGTATTAAATTGTAAAAATTTATAAATTGTATTTTAAATTGTATATGCATTGTAATTGGAATTTGTTAGATTTTTGTTATAATTCTATGAGTTTTTGAGATAAATTTCAATACAAAATGGCAAAATATGTAATGTTACTGGTATAACAACTTTATTAAACCAATTAAATTAACTATTTAGATTAAAATTAAAAAAAAACAGTTAAATTAAAAGATTGCATAACTTCATAAAATAAATTTTTTTTAATCAATAGATAGATATATTATTTCTATATTATATTATATTATTTATTTCTATATCCTATATTTTTGTATTTCTAATATGTCAAAAATAATATAAATAAATTTTATCATTTTTTAAATAATTTATAAAATGTCTATTATATTAGGTAATATAAAGGAATATATATATGGTTTAACATTATAAAATGTCAAAACACAACCAGTTGACTAAAGAGGTAAATATATGTTTGCTTAATTTTACATTTTCAAATTATTAAATTGTATTAATAAATTTATTAAGTTAATTATTACAGATAATTTTTAACTTAATGTTTAAAAAAATAATTAAATTATTTGATTTAATAGTGAATATTATTTTTACTTTTTTGAAAGAATTTTATTTTTGTTTATATCTTTAATGACACTGTTGTTTTCATTTTCTCATTAATTGTCACTTAAAATAAATAGATGTTGTATTGTATTGATAAATTAATTATTCAAAAGAAATAATACATTTTACAAAAATTTTTATCTTACAATAACAAAAAAAGATAAGTTTCTAAATATAATAATATCCCTGTTTATATAAGACTGATTGACTACTTTTTTTTAACATATATTTAGCGTTATATATCCTAATCTCTTAATCCTTAACTAAATTTAGTGAGTTTTTAATTTAATGCAATATATTTAGTTTAAAAATTTACATTATTATTTTTTATATTTTTAGTTAGAAGAATTAAATGTATTAAATAGTGAACTTAAAAATTTAAAGAAAACTGCAGTGAGTAAATTTTCTATTTTCTATTGATATTACGTTAATGCATGTTTTATTTTTTAAGTATTCATTTACTATAAGAAAACTAATTCTTATTTAGAAAATTAGAAAGTTGAAGTTTTTTCTNATTTGGCACATTTTAAAAGAAATTTTTCCAGCTAAAAAAAAAAAAATACATATTAAACAAAAATATTTATCACATTAAAGTTAACTGAAAAAAATATATACTGTACATAAAATAAAACTTTTTCTATTAAATTATATGGGTGAGATGCATATTGATTCACTCAATGGGCACCTCACCCATATAATTTAAAGAAAAGTTTCTTTCAATTCTTTGTATCTCATTATCTGATCCAAAGATGATAGAGAGGACAATTACAAATTTCTTAATAGTACTATTAATAAATGGCTGTACAGTAGATCCTTGATTTAATAGACAAAAAAAATGTCCTAAAGGAAAAATTTAGAATTTTTTTTTTATCATAAAGAGTACACTAAAATATGAGTTAGTAAGTCAATGAATATAAATTAGTCAATATATATTATTATAATAATTTATTTATATTTTAATAATAGCAGACATCCTTTCCTCAATTAGTCTGTTAGGCTACAGTTACTATGGATGCAAATTCTGATGAAATCTTGTTCTGACGAGTATGTCCAAACTCCTCATCAGAACAAGGTGCACTGTGCACGTTTTCTGATAGTCAGTACGTTTCTGCCTCCCACCAAAATGGACAAACTTGATAAGTTTTATATTCTTGAAAGTCCTTTTGATTAAGTTATTGTTGATAGCTGGTTGGAAAACAGAGCATGTTAACCACTTATTTTCCACAAGAGACGATAAGAGAGAGTTCCAAATGTTATATCAAGATTTGTGGAACAACCCGCAAAAGTTTTTCAAGTATTTCAGAATGAGAGATATCTCTGCCGAGAAATATCTCTGTTGTGATAGTTTTTGTCTTTCTTGTCCCACAAACACCTATTCTCGAACACAAGACTAATTAATTTATCAATACCCGTGTAGAAAAAACCAAAACACTTGAAATTCAACATCAGAATGCATGAAGAAATCAAACTCGTTTGAATGCTCGAATGGTTCTGACTACATTGTGCATGTCCTGACATGCCCTTTGCTGCCAGAGTAAACACTCTTATTGGAAAACAGGTATTTGTTTGTTCGGATGAACTCATCAGAACTTGTCAGAACAAGATTTCATCAGAATTTGCATCCACAGTAACCGTAGCCTTAAACTGTGGATTACTATACCTTAGAAATACTGAAGTTAGAATTAAGACTGCTTTATTCCATTTCATTTTGATGTTTTACATGGGAATGTTTTATGCAATAATATATTTTCTTAATTCTGAAGAAAATAGAATGTATGCTATTTCACTTAATATACATTTTATTTTCTATTTTTACTTGTGTTAATACTTTTATTTAATACTAGTTGTACTAGGCAATGCTTGTGTGTTATGAAAACATTGAATAGGTTCAAAAACTACATGAATGTTTGTTACTTGGTGACTATACAGTAGCTATAGACAACTTGCATGTGACATATTGGAGTCATGGATGTTGTGCATGTGCGTTTTGCCTGGCGCCATATTTGTGATGTTTCCGTTCCATTTTAACCTCATTAGATACATGACAGAGTAAACAAACTTTAAACAAGGGAAAGTGTAAACTTTGAGTGGCTCACCTAATGGTGCAGTATGGTAAATTGTACATAAATTTTATAATAGAATAAAACAAATTTGACAATTAAAAAAACAAAAAAAAATTACCACACAGCACTTAGAAGCAATGCTGTGCAATGGTCAATAAAATTATCATAAAACGTACATTTTTAGTCAGTACAATGATACAGTGATCAAGTGTATTTGTTTTAACGTACTTAAATTTCTCTTGCTGGAAAAGCTCTGTTATGAAGAACTCTACCAAAATCTTTGGATCAACCCAGCCATTTACTATAAAATTGAGCTTTAAGCGATTTGTATGCTTTTGTGTGGTTGAGTTAAAAATTGGGTTATTAAAACAAGGTATTCTATCTTCAGCCATAAACTATGATCTTCTAAGAATGAATTCTAGTCATCTTTGCATGGATCAATTCCTTCTTCTTCTTCTTGGTGCCATATCAGATTCCTGACGTCAGCGATACCTGGCATAGGTTAGTAAGTAGTTAGTAATGTGCTGAGGTGTTACTAGGGAAAGTTACTACCCAGAATGGTTTCCCATTGCCTGCTGTGGGGCGCGATGTTACGTGAGGGAAAAGAATGCCTTCCACTATACATTAATTAAAATTTTACTTCTGTACCATTTAACAACTCTTACTAGTCATCTTGACTAGTAAGAGTTGTTAAATGAATAAATAACCTAGTAAAAAAAATCCACCAATGAGTTGTGTAACATTTCCAGCTGTTATGAGATCTTAACAGGTATCTTGGGGCATATATATCCAGCAGATACGTGGCTGTTTTTTATTGAATTTCTCAAAAATAACAGCTAAACTGCGGACTTTGTAGAATTCCTCAACTGATATGTTCTGAAGTGATTTCTACAGTGGTTTTTAAGTGTATGGCCCTTTCTTTAGAGAAATTTTATGTAAAACAATATCTTACTACCACCTGCAGTAAATTCTCTCACAGCATGAGAGCATTATACTCTTGGTTGTTGCACATAACAATTGCAATTCGATAAAATAACAATATAGAATATTTAAACTTTACCACAATGCTACACATTCCATCGTTTTCTCCTGGTTTTAATGACCGAGCCAAACCCAATTTATTTCAGATAAGTCATTTCACTTATTTTTGACAACATGATTTTCTTGCTTCGGTGTTATTGCTCTGCTTTCTCCCAATCAGAGCATAAGAAATTTAATACTGTCAATTTTGCAACAATTAAAATTTATGTTTATTACATAGCAATACCATTTAATAATTGTGACCCAAACAATTATTTGGTAATTTTATCAATATTTTTAAATTATTAAAAATAAAATTATAGAATTCATTACTGGCAATACTAGTAGTTAAATCTAAAAGAAAACATTCCCCAGAGTGAAGAAAAAAATTTTGTTAGTTATTTGACCCCATTAGAGAAGGGAGTTTTTGAAAACAAAGTAATAAAACAATTAGTAGTTTGCTATTTTTGCATGGAATCTATTACTTCAGCAGGAGACAATAAACAGAGCTTTGCTACTCTGAACTTGAAAGAATACAATTGGGTGATATTTAACAAATATGATGTGAATCAGATTTGTTAAGTGAAAGTTGAAATGATTTATATTGAGTTGATATTTGATAAGTTTAGTTTTTTGCATTTACAGATCAAATTACAGAAAATATAAATAAAAATCTGATTTTTTTAAACTGACAAGCATTTTATACTGTTAGACAGTAGAGAAAATGTAGAAATCAAAGATATAATTATAGTCAAGCATATATATCTGTAAAAATATAAAAATTGCATTAATTTGCATTATGTATCCCTTGGATACAATGCCCCAAGTGACCTCTCAAAATTCTGTGCCTAAAGGGGAGATAATTAAAAAATAAATTTTATATTATTAAACATAAATTGATATGTGTAAGAACAGAATTGGATGTGAAATAATGAAACTAGTCTTATGGACTTAAGTTCTAAGGCTATCCTATTATTATACTATATTAAATTGCTATCATTCTGTTCATTCACATGGCATTCTCTTTACAGAGGGTTACAGTTGGAGAGTTCTCCACTCTTCATAGTTATAAGGTTTTCCAAAGCTTGAGCCAGTCCATTTTTCGATGTTGTCTTGCCATGTTAGCCTAGATCTTCCCTTCCTCTGTCTACCCTCCACCGTTCCTTGAACTGCAATTTTCATCAGTTTTCCTGAGGATCCTCTTATATGCCCAGCATATGCTGTTTTTCTTCTCTGGATGCTGACCACCAGGTTTCTTTCCATTCCAAATCTACTCATAACCTCCTCATTGGTTATTTTATCTATCCAACTAATTCTTTCCATTGTTCTAAGACACCACATCTCAGTGTTTTATCCTATAAACTGCTTCTTGGTTTATTGTTCATGACTTGCATCCATATGTTTTAATTTCAATTTTTTGCATACATTTCTATTTCTTAATACTGAGTGTGAGGGCCCAGATTTAAGAAGGCTGAGATTCGAATATTTTTATTCATTTTCATCTATCGTTTTTGTTTTGAAACCAAAACAATTTTATAAAAGTTAGGGTTAACTCAAAAAGAGAAAAACAACCGACAAAATTTTCTCATAAAAATTGCTCATAAAACTCCATTCCCACAAAAATACTTCCTTGTAGAAGATGAGTTAACTGTTGTGTCATAATTTTGTCACTTCGCCCACCATTGGTCAAAGAAGATCATCACCTGTGATGTACATGGGGAAATCTCGAGAGGAGAGCCTCCATATAAAAGGCAAGTGTGATGACGACACGGGGGAAGTTATTTTTCTGTACTCTGTGTGAGTGTGTGTATTACCTCTCGTTGCCACCATCTTCGATAGACTTTACAAATTCTGACTTTGATTATGCCTTTGAACTGAATTTCGAACCTGGGAAGTACGAGAATTTGGATCAACTAGACATCAATCTAGACATCGACATTTATAAATAGAGGTATTTATTCTACTCGCAATGATATGTAAGCTCTCTCTTGAATAGGGTCATGACTAATATATATTTTGTCTGCTATCAATCCCGAAATCTATGAATTATATGGATTGAAAGTCCCAAGAGGGATCTGTACCCTTAATTCCTTAATTAATCATCTATGTAAAAATGTTCAACAATAAACAGGTATAATGTTAATGAATTTTGATTGGTGTGCATTTCTTCCGACATTATCACCTCCATACTGAACCTGAAGTCCTCCACGAGATTGCTCGTGATAATTTGTCCTCAATTAAATGCATATCTATCCGCTAAGAAATTGATAGATTGGTGTCAGATCCTGACAGGAGAAAGGATTTAATGATTATTAACTCTATAACCCTTTCACTCAACAGAACCCATTCTTTGGATAAGAGAGACCGGACCTCAAGGTCTTGAGTCGAGTAAGAGGTAGGAGAGTCAAGAACTTGTAAACATCCTATATCCCCGATTAGTCTCACATGAGGGTATTTATGCGAAAGCAGCTTAAACCTTTTTTATTCTGTTTTTAGTTTCATAATTACATCTGTTATCCTCAGTTATCCAATTTCCTAGGTACTCAAACAGTTTTACCTTTTCTGTTTTCTTTTTATCCAACATAATATTTAGATCTTTGTTTTCTTTTCTGGTGATTATCATAACTTTTCTTTTGTTTGTGTTTATTTTCATTTGGTATTTTGCTTTTTCCACTTCTTTCCATCTGTTTAGAATTTTCTGTAATCCTTCTTTGTGTTACATATCAGCATACCTAATGTTATTGATAAGAAGTCCGTTAATTTTTACACCTTCATTTAAATTTTTGAACACCTCTTTCATCATCCATTCACTGTAGATGTTAAAATGTGTTGGGACAAATTACATCCCTGTTTTATTCCTTTTTTAATCTGAATCCATTTTTATCTTCTTCCTGAAATCTGATCATTGCTTTTAGGCTTTTATAGATATTGTAGATTATTCTCAGTAATTTTTTATCAATACCTATTTTTTGCAGAATTTCAAACAACAGCATTTGATTAACATTATCAAAGGCCTTTTTGAAGTCAACAAAAATATATAAACTCTATCATGATCTTTTCTCTTATAAGTTGTATCTTAAAATAACCAAACACCTTAGTATTTCTGGAAATACTAAGGTGTTTGGTTATTTAAGTATTTATATTCCAGTAAGTTATTTTGTTTTATTATAAGTTGTATCATTGTAATTAGGGTTTCTCATTTCCTGGTCTTTAGCTTGTCCCGGGATCCCGGGATAAAAGTGAACTGTTTCCCGGGAAATCCCGGGATAGAATTAATTATTTCTAAGGTATACAAAATATCTTGAAATCAAATGATATAATTATTTTCCATTTTTTAAAGTAATTTTAAAGTTCTGTAACCTCCAAAATCATATTAATAATGCTGTGTAAGGTCTATAGGCCTATAATAAAAATTACCTTTAAATAACGTAGAAATTTTCACAAATAGAAAAAAATTAATTAAAGTTTGCTGGAAACTGCATACAACAACAACAA